GGAAGCGCCGGAGTCCAGGGTGAAGGAGAGCACGGCAGTGGCGGCAGGGGTCGGAGGAGCGAGGGAGGACCCAAGGCTAAACAAGGCAAGGGATCCTATGCCTGACGCAGCAGGGGAGCCTGAACTAGGCACATTGGGCACAACTACACTAGGCAACACAGGGTAATAGGAACCAGTCACACTAGAGTCATCGACATACAGCATATACAAAGCAGAGCTAATCTCAACCATGTCCATATCAAAGATCCTAACACCACAGCGGAGCAGACTGTGCCACTCGGGGAGGTCTGGCGCCGGGCCAAAGCGGAGACGAAACGGGTTGTCTAGGCGACTGAAGCAACAAGTGGGGGTATGGCCGATCTTACCGCACACAAGGCCGCGGCGAGGACTGGTATGGAGCTGGTACTGGCACTGCCTGTCACTCGGACCACCGCCTCACGTCACAGCGCATGCACGGCCACTGAGACCACCTCCACTACCGGCTCCAGGCTACCCGGGCGGGAGACGACCGACCCGCCGCTGCTGCTGCTGCTGCTCCGAGACACCAGCCCTAGCCCCCTCGTCAATACCACCAGTGGATGAACCACCTCCATCACTACCCCCACCCCCTCCTCCGCTACCTCCACAACGCCAAGCCTTGGGGCGGCGACCCTTACCCGGACGAAACAGTGCTGCGGCAGCCACGGCGGCTGTCTCCGCAGCAGGGGCTGTCTCAGTGATAGCGGCAGAACCGTCAGAGTAAGTGCGCTGAATGGGGGCACAGCCCTAAAGGATAGTGACAGGCACGGTACCTCTAGACTGGGCGATAGAGCGCTGACGAGTCTCTATGGCAAACAGGGTGTCGACAAAGTCTGTGAGAGTGAGGTCAGTGGGGTGGAGACTAAGGAAGTGATCGCGGGCGGTAGCAAGGCGGTCAGGGAGGCGGGTGGCAAGCAGGTAGAGGGTAGAGCAGATGGGGGGCTGAAACAAACGAAGCTGGGCCTCAGTGCAGGCAGCGCGTCAGGTCGTGTCTAGCGTGCGCAAGTGGGCGGCCAGGTCAGCGACAGTAGAGAAAGACGCGAGATCAGGAAAGAGCATGGGCTGGATCAGGCAACCGACGGAGGCAGAGGGCGGGGTGGAATAGTGCGCGACAACAGCCTCTAAGAACTCCTGCGTAGTCCTGACCGACCTAAAGCGGGGGCGCTCAGACAGGGGGAGGGCACGACTAATCGCGAGCTGTGTGATAGCATCACGCGATAGCCAGACAGCACGGGCAAGGGCAGCAGCGGCAGCGGACTCACGGTCAGTAGACGTGGGGTCAGTGGGTAGAGCAGCTGGGGGGATAAGGCAAAGGAGCGTACCGTTGATGTGGATGGCCAGGGAGTGGCCGTCCTGCTGCTGGCCGGCCGGCGGAGGTCGACGAGCCACTTGTCGAACTCAACCGGCTGACCTTCCGCATCAAAGCACAGGACCGAGTCCGCCATCATGGTCACTGCAGCAGTAGAAAGGCGATACTTGGCTGTACTGAGCGACAGAGTGCAGCGGGAAGCAGTTGTGCAGTACGGTAGGGTGCGGTGCAGTGCGGTATAGTGTGGTGCAGTGCAGTGCGGTGCGATGCAATGCGGTGGAGTGTGGTGCAGTGCGGTGGAGAGGGCCGATGAAGCGAGGTGGAGGCCGCAGGGGCAGCTGAGGGACGGGGGCTGCAAGGAGGCTGGGCGGCGAGGCCGCGTGGCGACTAGTCAACAGGGGGGCCGCGTGGCAGCTAGGAGACGGGGCCGCGGGCGGCGAGGCGACGGGGTTGGCTAGGCGGTGAGGTGATGGGGCTGGCTAGGCGACAGGGCCGGCTAGGCTACGGGGTCGGCTGAGGGACGAGCCTGGCTAGGCGACGGGGCCGGCTGGGCGACGGAGCCGGCTAGGCGAGGGGACTGGCTGGGCAACGGGACCGGCTGGGAGACGGGGCTGGTTAGGTGACAGGGCGGGCTAGGCTACGGGGCCGGCTAGGCGACGGGGCCGGCTAGGCGAAGGGGCCGGCTTGGCGGCGGGGCCGGCTGGGCGACAGGGCCGACTAGGCAACGGGGCCAGCTATGCGCTAGGTGACAGGGGGCCCTTAGGGGACGGGCCAGCACGCGCGGGAGGGCGACGAGGCGGCTAGGACCTATGGCGGAAGCGCTAGTGGGCGGGAGGGACCTAACCTACTCATGATACCATATCAAAGTTAATAAATGACTAGAACCATGGCATACAAGAGAATATAGCCTAGTGGATTGTACTCTCTAAGGCACAACCCTGTGTAGTCTTTAACAATATACAAAGATATGTTTGACATTGGGTGCTTTATTAAACTGGATATTCATACCACCCTAGTTTTTGGCATGAAACCAATACACCACCCCCTGGCTCATATGCACTCGATTTCTTTAGATTTTGCCTTCTATCAGAGTACCTCGTATCAGACTCGCGCGTTACTGAGCAGTGCGGGCTTGACGTGAAGTGGTTTTATGCGGTGTAGAGCTGTAACCACGCTTGGAATTCTCGTCACTCAGGCGACTGTTCCGAGTTTGGTGCCCGATACGAGGCTCGTGGGAACACGCTCTAACATCACGGTTTAGCAGTCAACACTGCAGCGCGGGAGAATCTGTACGCAGGTCGGGCCTGGTTGAATAGTGGAGGTTGCCCCTTGCCACTACCAGGTGTGACAGAATGCCCCTACAACGTGACAGCTTGGCTGCAACGTGGCATGTGGATCGTCCTCCTCGCCATATACGCGATCACGTGCGAGAATCATAAAAAAAAAAAACCCCAAAAGAACCCTGTGTACAACGCAGTTCAATCCCATTTCATAAACATAACCCCTAGGTGCTGTACAAATTGTGCCTTTGATTATACCCCCTCCAAATTTTACATGAGATTAGACTAACAACCGTGGGTGTTTTATCCGGGGGAATATGGTAAGAGAAATAAAATGTATGAGTCGGCCACCGCGAAGATGACTACTCTTCGGTTGCTCCTCCACATAGCCGCAACATAACTACAAGCTTCACTCTCTGGACTTCTGGACAACCTTCTTGGAGAACAGCCTACATGAGCAGATCTACCTGTGGTGACCACCTAGCTTCACCAGATCCTCGCTCCTGGGACCCAGTGGAGCCTGCGCCGCGCTGTCTACAGTCTGCCAGGCGCCCCGTAAGTGCCACGACACGCTCCGCACTTCACTCGCAACTCTCCAGTTCTTTCCATCCTTTGCTGACCCCTTGCTCTTTGTTCGTGTTGGCCATACTTTGTTCTAGAACTTGTGTACGTAGATGGCCTTATCTTTGCTACACAAGACAGGGTCGCATGGCCTCAATGAAGGCCGAGCTGCTCATACAACACACCTGCAAAGACTTGGGAGCGTCGCGGCGCTATCTAGACTTGGAGATCTCTCGTGACCGTGCAGCGCGCACCATGACACTCCCCCAGTCCCACATGGTGCAACCGATCCTCCAGAGGTTCGACCTTCAGTTCTCGTCGACACAGCCCATTCCCCTACCTGTGGACCACAAGCTCTCAGCTCCTGTTTCTAATGAGCAGGTCAAGCCCAGTGGTCCATATGCAGAGCTAGTAGGGTGCCTCATATGCCCGATGACTTGCACTCGCTCAGATCTAGCGTACCCTCTTAGTATCCTTGCTCGCTTCGTTGCTCCTGAGCAATGCTCGGCTGCCAAGAGGGTATTGCGGTAGGTGGCGAGTACATCGGACTGGGGCTTGTGCCCAGAGGATGGGAGCCAGTGGTCCTCACTAGACATACAAACGCGTCGTGGGTTGACGACCTGGAGACACTTTGGTCCTTAAAGGGCTACTGCTTCAGCCTTGGTGCAGGTGCCATCTCGTGGTGGTCCACTCGGTCGTCGTCTATAGCATAGTCCAGCTGTGAGGCCGAGATTTATGCTGATGACATGGTCGCTCAAAAATCCTCTGGCTTACATAGGTGAGCTGCCTAGGTCAGCCCCGACCCCATTTGTTGATAACATGACCATGATCATGCTGTGTTAGGAGGCTCGACTTGAGGGCAAGGCCAAGCAAATCCAGCTGCGGTACTTCCTACTGCATGAGTTGCAGCAGCGCGGCCAGGCCCGCGTAGTACAGTTGGCCTTAGAGGCCAACACTGCTGATATCTCCACCAAGACCCTTGGGCCTTGTGACCATCAGCGGTTCTGTACTCAGCTTGGTCTAGTCCCAGTTGCCTCACACTTGCTTGTATCTTGATCTGTACAATACATGTCTTGTATATGCTGCTCTATATCGGTTATCTTGTTACACTTGCTGACTGGCCTTTTGGCCCTTGTCGGAGTGGTCAGACTATTTGTGCTGCTCGGGATTGCTGTGTCTTGCTAGACTCTGCCCCTACCCAGGCTAGGGGGTGTGTTGATATTGGCAAGGATAGGAACTTTTTAACCCTAACAAATTGTACGGTGGGAAGGGGGGTATCCGAAAACCAATTTGGCTCTCGAAGAATGCATGTCAAACCCCAAAATGTGAGGCGCTGACACTAAGGTATGGCTTATTAAGGGAGTAGAGTCCCTACTTTCCCCCCATCGATCACTGATCCTGTGTTCAAGACAAAGGGTTTAGATAATAGGGTTTTAGGCAAATCTTACTGCTTAATCTTGTTGTAAGTGCCAGGTCGGGCGAAGGTGCTGGAATAAATGTTTGAATTACATTAGGATCACGCACCATGGGATTTTGGCCTAGTTTGGGTGCTTTCATTCAGTTTTGCTCTTCTTAGATTCGATTTCCTACTTACTAGCTAATACACACTCATAACATATCAAAGTCAAACTAGAAACTTGTATCGAGTTCGTTCCCAGCGTCACACACGTTAGGGTTAGGGCACTGTAGCCAGACCCACGGCCGAGTCTCGCAGGCCCACGTTCTCGCTTGCCCCACAAACACCACCACGCGACTTGTCTGCAGCACATGCCACGCATTGTGCAGAAGATACACCTTCCCCCTCTCCCCCAATCCTCCCTTGTTATTGTTGCTTGTTGCTTGTGTAAATACCGCACCACCCGCAGCCCTCGAGCTGCGCCACACCTTCGCTGTCGTTACTCTTGACCTCTCGCGATCGCCGCGTGGAGTGACACTTACTGCAGCGCACAGCGACTTGGCTCGTAGCTCGTACGCGTTGCACTCACTTCCCGCGTTCCTTAGAATGCTCACACATGTGCGACTCGGATCGAGGCTAGAGCAGCAGAGAACAGGCGAGCAACCGGGAGTAAAAGAGCAGCAAGGGGCAAAGGAGCAGCACGGAGTATTAGACTCGCAAGGGACATGTAGTCGTACGGTCGATTGACGCGTCACAAGCAGTCGGCTGCACCATGTCAGGTCAGTCCTTCTCCACCGCGCTCCGCCGCTCTCCACCGCTCTGCCCGCCCTTCAGCCGAGCGCAATAGCCGTGTAGCAGCATGGCAGATTGAACCCCCTTTAACGCCCTCGTAGCATCCCTCGCTCTCTCCGCCGAGTAGACCCGCGTCTCTTCCCATCGCGCGGGGCATACTGGGAAGGTGTTTCTCGTAGGCGGAAACCACCCGCTGCGTGCGCTGGACTGCATGCAGCGGTGTTTTGCACTCCGGAGCACGCAGTGGGGAATGCGTTTTGCCGAGTCCAGTGAGGAGAGCGGCGCTTTACGTGTCCCCCTCTCTTTCCGCCCTCCCTCCCGACGTCCACCCCTCCGCCCTCCCCTCCCGCCCATGCCCCCTGCAAGCCTGCACCGGTGCGTCTTGAGGCTCCTCAAGTAATCCCCCCCCCCCTCCCCCCCCCCACCCAACCCCCCACCCCGCCCGCGCGCGCTCTCTCCGCCTCGCGCCCATGGCCCTCGGCAGGACTGCGCCAGTGCGATTAAGGCACTCTAGAACGCCACCATCCCCTTCCCCGGCCCTCCTCACCGCGCCCCTCGGCTCCCCCCGGACTGCGGAGGTGCGTTACAGGGTGTGTTAGACTGCACCTCCCCGTCCCCCCTTACCCCTCTCCTGGCCCGCCCGCCCCCTCCCCCCCGGTCAGGCCTGCGCCAGTGCATCGCCCCGCGCGTGACGTGCGGATTCGCGTCCAGCAGCGACGACGAGGGGGATGGGGACGAGACTGCCTACCTCAAGGGGCGCACAAAGGGGAAGGGGAAAGGGAAGCGCGGAGCCGAGGGGCATGGTAGCGGAGGAGGGAGTTTCCGCCACCCCTCCCTGCGGATTGGGCCGCCATTGGACGTGCGACAGGTGGCGTATCCGCACGAGCCTGCCACGCTGGACCCCTTGAATGGCGGGCTGGGAGCCTTAGGGGGGCTGCAGGGGCAACTGGTGACGCTGGCGCTGCCCATAGTCAGCTACAGCAGGTGGGCGGCACTGCCTATAGTCAGCTACAGCAGGTGGGCGGCACTGCCTATAGTCAGCTCCAGCAGGTGGGCGGCACTGCCTATAGTCAGCTACAGCAGGTGGGCGGCACTGCCTGTAGTCAGCTACAGCAGGTTGGCGGCACTGCCTGTAGTCAGCTACAGCAGGTGGGCGGCACTGCCTATAGTCAGCTACAGCAGGTGGGCGGCACTGCCTATAGTCAGCTACAGCAGGTGGACGGCACTGCCTATAGTCAGCTACAGCAGGTGGGCGGCACTGCCTGTAGTCAGCTACAGCAGGTGGGCGGCACTGCCTATAGTCAGCTACAGCAGGTGGGCGGCACTGCCTATAGTCAGCTGCAGCAGGTGGGCGGCACTGCCTAAAGTCAGCTACAGCAGGTGGGCGGCACTGCCTACAGTCAGCTACAGCAGGTGGGCGGCACTGCCTATAGTCAGCTACAGCAGTTGGGCGGCACTGCCTGGCAGGTCTCAACCAGAGCATTTCTCCCCTCCTCCGCTCTCCACCTCCCATTCCACCTCCCATTCCCCCTCCCATTCCCCCTCCCATTCCCCCTCCCATTCCCCCTCCCATTCCCCCTCCCATTCCCCCTCCCATTCCCCCTCCCATTCCCCCTCCCATTCCCCCTCCCATTCCCCCTCCCATTCCCCCTCCCATTCCCCCTCCCATTCCCCCTCCCATTCCCCCTCCCATTCCCCCTCCCATTCCCCCTCCCATTCCACCTCCCATTCCCCCTCCCATTCCCCCTCCCATTCCACCTCCCATTCCACCTCCCATTCCACCTCCCATTCCACCTCCCATTCCCCCTCCCATCAACCTGCCATGACAACGATTGCAGCCGCATCGCATGCCTATTCCCTCTCGCCCCTGCTGCTTCCTCCTAGCCCCTTCCCAATCATACTCCTCACCCCTCCCCGCACACCTCTTTCCCCCTCCTTTACCTCCCCGCCCCCCCCTTCCCAAATGCGTGCATGGCAGCAAGATAGCGGTGGGCGTGTTTGGCGAGTCGCCCGAGGATCTGCCGTGCTCGTATGACGACTATGGCAATCTGGTGCCCAACGTGCTGCTGCAGCTGCAGGCCTTGCTCATCCACAAGGGGGGGCTGCAGGTGAGACGGAGGATGGGGGCAGGGATGGCAGGGATGGCAGGGATGGCAGGGATGGCAGGGATGGCAGGGATGGCAGGGATTGAGGTTGATGGCGGTGCTGCTGCAGCCTGCAAGCCTTGCTGATTCACAAGGGCGGGCTGCAGGTGAGACAGAGAGAGGAGGTGAGAGGGAGGGCGGGTTGGTATGGGGGTTGCATGCATTGAATGTGGCGCGCCGTGTTTTTATAGCCCTCGGAGCATTTTGGCGCCCAATGTGCTGCTGCGGCTGCAGGTCGCTGCTCATCCACAAGGGCGGGCTGCAGGTGAGAGGGACGAGGGGGGCAGGCATGGGAGGGATTGAGGTTGATGGAGATGCTGCTGCAGCTGCAAGCACGGCTTGCTTCCCGTCAGACCGCGGGTTAATACAAGATGGCAGACTGGCAGGGGCAGCAAGACCCCGTCCCCGAGGAGGGTTTTTTGAAGGTATATTCTAAGCGTCTCATGAGCCCTTGCCGTCCTCTCTCCCCCACCTCCTCCTTATCCTCCCCCCCAGACGGAGGGCATATTCAAGGTGGCGGTGGAGGCGGGCAGGGAGGAGTCGGTGAAGGCAGCAGTCAATGCAGGGCGAATACCGCCCTCCACCGATGTTCACTGCCTGACGGCGCTTATCAAGGTGAGGGGAGGCGCTTATCAGGACAGGGTGTGTGGTTTGCATGCACTGATAGATGGCATGGCATGCTTTGCACCCCCTGCTGCATCACATGCATGCACTCATTCTGTTTGGCTTCTATCAACAAGCTTGTGCGTATGGCGAGCCCCCCTTTGTTTCTCTCTTTACCCATTTGTGTTGTGCGCGTCATTGCCACATTGCACTCCATGGAAACCACTCTGGCCCTAGCCTCCCCTACACTCCGTGTCCCAACGCTCCGTGTCCCAATGCTCCGTGTCCCAACTCTCTGTGTCCCAACGCTCCGTGTCCCAACGCTCCGTGTCCCTACACTCCGTGACCCTACTCTCCGTTGCAGCATTCACGAGGCACAGGCTCTCAGCAGCAGACTTGCTGTCAGAAGGGGTCATGTGGGAGGTGCTAGCAGTGCTGCCCCTTCATCTCCCTACCGTCCCTCCTCCCCTCTGCCCTCTGTTCTTCAGGCGTGGTTCCGTGAGCTCCCAGACTGGCTGTTGGATTCCGTGCCGCCCTCGCTCCTCGCATCAGCAGCAGGTCCACAGTCAGAAGAGGGCGGCATGGTGTTGGCAGTGCTGCTCCTCATCCGCCTCCTCCGCTCTTCCTCTCCTCCCTTCCTCCCTCTGTCCTCCAGGCGTCCTTCCGTGAGCTCCCACACACACGGCCTATTGGACTCCCTGCCTCTCTCCCTGCTTGTGTCAGCAGCGGACCCGCGCAGTGAGGAGGGCGCCATGGCCGAGCTGCTGGCCGCACTGCGGCTTCAGCTATCCCACCTGCCCTCTCCCCTGCCTTCCTCCACCAGGCGTGGTTCCGGGAGCTTCCTGACGGCCTCTTGGACTCCCTACCCCTCTCTCTGCTGGCGTCAGCAGCAGACCCACACAGTGAGGAGGGTGGCATGGGCGAGCTGCTGGCGGTGCTGCCGCCCGCCAACAGCTGTCTGCTGGACTGGCTGCTTAACCTGCTGGTGGACGTCGTGGAGAGCCAGGGGAGGAACAAGATGGGCGCCAGGGCGCTGGCTCTGGTGTTTGCTCCTAATCTGGTGCAGGTGGGTGCTCTCTCCCTTCTTGCTGCTTGCTCCTGCTCTCCCTTTCACATCTTCCGTTCCTACCTTTCCTGCATGCTCACCTCTTCTTTCATGTCTGCTCCCTTCCCTCCTCACCCCTTCTCTGCACCCCCATCCCTTCCCCCGTGGCTCCCTCCCTCTCCCTTCATCCCATATCACCTTCTCCACCACACACCCCCCTCTCCTCCTCCCCTCCACAGCCAGCCTGCAAAGCCGTGCCGCTAATGACCCCCCTACAGGCCCTCATCTCATCTTCGCGCCAACTCTCTTCCTCCTCTCCTTCCCTTCCCCTCCCCCCCACCCCGTTCTCAGGTGACAGGTAGTGGACCCAGCAGCCAGTGCCCGTCGACCCATGCTGCTCATACGCCCCATGGAGGCCCGCGTCCCTGGCTGCCACTCACCCTCCACTCTACCCCCTATCCCTGCCATGTCGTCCCCCCCCCTCCCATCAGGTAGTAGACCCCTTGGCCAGCCTGAAGCGCGCCATGCTGCTGATGGACCTCCTCCAGGCGCTCATGTGATTGTATTGTTTCGCTGCCTCAAAGGTCACCCCTCCACAGCCTTCCCCACCCCCCCACACCAATGCTGGACCCCTCCGCCAGTCTCAAGCGCGCCATGCTGCTCAGGACCTCTTGGAGGCCTTAATAGTGCGCAAGCAGTTTTGAGGCGCCTCAAAACTAGGCCTCTTGGAGGCCTTGATAGCGCGCAAGCAGTTTTGAGGCGCCTCAAAACTAGACCTCTTGGAGGCCTTGTTAGCGCGCAAGCACCGCCACCGCTTGCTCTTCGCACACCACCGGCCTACTGACTCCCATTCCCGCCCTTCCCCCGTGCCCCGTGCTTCCCTTCCCCCCCAGGTGGTGGACCCGGCTGCCAGCCTAAAGCGCGCCATGCTGCTGATGGACCTCCTCGAGGCGCTCATCGCCCGCAAGCACCGCCACCGCCAGCTCTTCGCGCACCACTGGCCGGGCGGCGCGCGCGCGTCCGCGTCGGTGGTGTCGGCGTCGCTGATGGACGACTCGGAGTACGAGGACACGGACCTCGATTCCTCCCTCAACTTCTCGCTGCTCTCAGGGGCGCACGGGGGGATGGGGGGGCCTGGGGGGTTCGTAGGAGGGGTTGGAGGGGCTGCTTCGTTTCGTAGCAGTGGTGGTGCTGCTGGTGCTGCTGCTGCTGGTGCTGGGTCTGCGTCGTTTGGGTCGGCGTCGGTTGTCCATAGTCCTCGCACTGCGCTGATGCTGAGAGCGCTGGCCGCGGCTGGGCTGGGCTTGGGTGGGAGGGCAGCAGGGGGCGGTGTGGGGGGCGGTGTGGGGAGTGGGAGAGTGAGAAAAGAGAGTGGGGAGTGGGAAAGCGAGAGTGTGGGTGCGCGGTCGGGGCATTCCTCTCCCTCTCCAGCCACGTGGAGAGGGGGGTTTGCCTTGAGGCCAGGGAGAACGTGGGCCATGGGCAGTGATGGGGGGGAGGGGCTGGGATCCATTTCTGAACTGTGCCCAATAGAGGATGGCGAGGAGGAGGTAGAGGGGGATGGGATGGAAGGGGGGCTGGAGAGTGAGGGTGTAGGGGGGAGAGAGAGGATAACGAGAAAGAGTGGAGACGGAACGGGTAGGAGGGGAGTGGGAGAGGGAGGAGGGGTGGAGGGAGTATCGAGACTGGCAGGGGATACAGCGGAGGAGTGCAGGAGTAGGCGCGAGGATGGGCATGGGGAGGCGGATAGTCGGCTGGCCGAGTGGCTGAGGAACATTCATGAGGCAGTGGGGGAGGGGGGAGGGGAGGAAGCTGTGGCGGAGGGGAAAAAGGGAAGAGAACCGGGGGATGAGGAAGAGGAATCAGAGACTGCAGCATCAAGCACACCTGAGGTGGAGGAAGAGGCAGAGGCGGCAGCAGAAGCAGCGGCTGCAGTAACAGTTGCATGTGATTCGCTGGGTGCAGGTGAACCTGCATCAGCCGTACCACATGGGGCAGATTCATGTAGCGATGATGATGGTGGCGTTAGCAATGATGCCGGTGATGGCGATGGTGATGAGGATGAGGATGGAGGTGGGGAGGGGGAGGGGGATGAGGAGGGGAAGAGGAACGGTGATTGCGATGTGCATGGTGCAGATGCTGGGGATCATGCCATGGGTGCTCCAGGTGACACGGGCGATACTGACTGCGTCGCTGCTGCTGATGGCGGTTTATATGGTGATGCTGATGCGGGCTCTGACGCAGATGCTGAGGCTGAGGCTGATGTTGATGGTGATGTTGATGTTGATGGTGATGGTGATGGCAACGAGCATGAGCATGTTGCAGCTGACTGCGGTATTGATGATGCTGACGCTGAAATGCATGGAGCAGCAGACAGCACTTTGGCTGCTGACCAAGGCACTGTAGATGCTGACAGCAGCGCACCTGCTGGTGGCGCCACCACACGTGCTCACGATGCCTCTATGCAAGTGGAGGCTCCAGTGTCCGCGTCCCCTTCAGATGCTCCGCCCCACCTTCCACCTTCTCAACCACCCTTTCCCCCACCGTCCTCTCGTCCCTCCGCCCCTGCTGCCTCGCTCCCGCCTGCCAGCGCCCTCTCTGCTCCACCTGCTGCAGACGCCACCCATTCTGGCCCCATGCCTGCCTCTGCCTCCGCTCCCCTCCTCGCCAGCATGCTGCTTGTGCTCGCTGCCATGCACACTGCCCCCCTCCCACGATCCTCCCAAACGGCCTTTGCTGCAGATGCGACCTCAACAGCTGATGACCGCACCGCTGCTGCTGCCTCGCCTGCTGCCCCTGCTGCTGCCACGGACGCTGCAGCGGTATCCCAAGGCCCCACAGACCCTCCTCTCCCGCCCTCTGTGCCCCAGCCTCTCTCCGCTGCACCCCCTCTCCCTCCTGCTGTGCTGGAGCCAGGCCAGGTGCTCGTGCCCAGCAGCAGACGCAGAGCCGCCGCAGGTGCTGCTGCTACTGCCACTGCTGCTGCCACTACTGCTGCCACCACTTCTGTGGGCGCTGGTGCGAGCGCTGCCGCGAGCACGGGGCAAGAGGAGGGGAGTGGGCGCGGGAAGATCGGCCTGAAGAAGGCAGGCGCGGGGAGAGGCAAGGGCACAGCTGCGGCAGGCAGGGGTAAGGTGAAGGAGGCGCTAGAAAAGGGGGCAAAGGAAGGGAAGAAGGTGGGTGGTCAGGGAACAGTGAAGGCAAGGGGTAGGGGCAAAGGAAGTGATGGGGTGGCGGTTACAGGGACGAAGAGAAGGGCGGGTGTTGGCGAGGCAGTGGGTGCAGGGGCGGAGGGAATGGGAGGGAAGGTGGAGGAGCCAGGGACAGAGGGTAGGGGAGAGACGGTTGAAGGTTGTTCAGCATTAGCAGATGAGAGGGGGACAGCTCAAGAGCAAGGAGTGGCGGCTAACGGTGGGGCAGGGGGCGCAGGAAAGACGGCCGCAGCAGGCAAGGCAGGAAAGAAGGTGTTGGGCAAGGGAAAGGGCAAGGCGGCCAAGGTTGCAGACCGGGCGAGAGCAGAGGCGGAGGCAAGGCAGGGGAGGGATGGGGTGAGGGAAGGCGAGGCCCACAGCAGCAGCGCAGTGGCAGCAGGTGGTGCTGTGGCCCAGGGTGGGAAGGCAAAGAAGAGTACGAGGAAGGTGGTAGCGGAGATAGAGGAGATAGAGGAGGTTGTTGAGGAGAGAGGGGCGAAGCGGCATGGGCAACCCAAGCGTGCCGCCACTGCTGCTGGTGCTGCTGCCGCCACTGCTGCTGGTGCTGCTGCTGGTACTGCTGGGGGCTCTGCTGCTGCCAAGCCTCGCAAGCGAGCAGCAGCAGGCAGGGCTGGCGTCGATGGCACTGGTGCCGCAGGTGGTACGGTTTCCCACAGGGAGGTGCCAACTGGGGAGGGCGTGTCTGTGAGGCGAGAGGCAGGTGCGGAGAGGAGCAGCAGGGAGGCAGTGAGGGGGGCGGGAAAGGCGAAGCATGGGGAGGTGGGGGCTAGCATCAGCAAAGGTGCCGCCCTGAAGGGGCAGGGAGCAAAGACTGGTGCGGCAGCAGGGAGGGAGCAGGTGGGGCGGGAGCAGGCGATGCGGGAGGCGATAGGGCGCGAGCTGGCGTGGATGCAGCGCGTGCGCGAGATGCAGGGCGGCGAGTGGGGCGAGCGCTGGCAGCGGTGGCTGCAGGAGGAGGAGGGGTCAGAGGGGAGCGGCAGGCGAGTGAGAGTGAGGGAGAGCTTGCACGTGTTTGGGGAGGGCACTGCCGTGCGAGAGAGGATCACCGAGTGGGAGCGAGCGCTGTCTCTGGCCAGCGCTGCTGCTGGTGTGGAGGGCAGGGGAGGGGGGGAAGCAGAGGCGGGAGGGGAAGCAGGGGGGAGTGGCGGGAGTAGGGGTGGGAGCGCACATAGGAGGAGGCACGAGGGGCAGCAGAGGCAGGCAGGGGAAGAGAGGGAGAAGGGTGGGGGTGAGAAGGGAGGGTTGCATGGGGAGCAAGAGGAGAGCAGTGATCTGTGGAGGTGGAGGAGGGCGCTGGCTGGACGGGCAGGGAGAGCAGGGGGTGCAGGGGGAGACAAGTTCCAGCCTGCGTGTGTGCTGCCGCCCCTCTCCTCTGCTCACCGCTCCCACGCCTTGCCTCCTGCTGCTGCGGGTGCTGGCCTTGCTGCGCCTCATGCTTTCCGTGCCCACACCCCCGCTGATTTCGAACCCCTTGTGGATCCAAGAAAGGGTGGCGATGTGCGGCGGCGCTCTGAGAGCACGCGTGGTGAAGCAATGATGCCCGAGGAGGCGAGGGAGCAACCCGGCATCCACAAGGTGAATCCACTCGACCTGAGCAACCCAGCAGCACCTGACGGCGTGCTGCCTGGCCACCCACCTGGCCACCCACCTGGCCGTTCACCTGAGAGTCAGTGTATGCCACCCAGTTTGCCGCCTTCAGGTGGTGGGAAGGCGAAGGGGAAGAAAGGAGCCGGGAAAACGAGCAAAGAGAAGGCGGGCTCGGTAGAGCAGCAAGGGGTGGGGGTTGGGAGAGAGGAGGAAAGAGGGGGAGTGGCGGAGACTGGGGGAGTGGAGGAGAGTGGGGGAGTGGAGAAGAGCGGGGGAGTGGAGGAGAGCGGGGGAGTGGAGGAGGGCGGGGGCAAGGTAGCGGGGGTGAGGAAGGGGAGGAAGAAGTCGGAGGTGGCAGCAGTGGTGGCGGAGATGAGGCGCAGGAAGGGCGGGTGGGGGGCGCAGGGGGAGTGGGTGGGAGAGGGGCAGGGGGCAGCGACGGCAAGTGCGGCAGCAGCAGACGGGGAAGCAGCAGACGGGGAAGCAGCAGACGGGGAAGCCGGGGGTTTGGCAGTCGCAGGCGGAGCAGGGGAGGAGCAGGCAGAGGGGGTGCCACAGGCGAAGGATGGGCAGCTGAGGGCGCAGTCGCCAGGGGTAGGTCTAGAGGGCGCGGGCCAGGCGAGGAGCAAGGGTGGTGAGGGTGACAGGGAGGGCGGCAGTGGGGAGGGCAGCAGCAGGGGCAGCAGGCCAGGGGAGGTTGATGCAGGTGCTGCTGCTGTGGTGAGTCAACGAGGGTCCAGCAGAGCCAGCAGCAGGAGCAGCAAGAGCAGGAGCAGCAGCAGCAGCGGCGCCAGCACTCCTGCTCCCTCTGCTCGCCTCCTCTCCCTTCCCGCACCCATCCCTCCCCATCCCAACCGCCCCTCCGCCTCCAAGCCCTCGCTCCTCATGCCCGGCCCCTCCTGCATTGCTCCCTCTGCCAGGCCCCACCCCTCTGCCGCCCTTGCTTCCTCGCCCAGGCTGCACAACTCGCCCGCCTGCTCGTCCCTCCCCTCTCCCTCGCTCCCCTCCCCCTCCTCCTCCTTCTCCAACCGCCGCCGCCTCTCCTTTCAATCGCCCCCCACTGCCTCTGGCCCCTCACGTTCCTCTGTGCCCTCGCACGCCTCCATCTGCTCCCATGCCTCCTCCCTCCGTCAGCCCTCCGTTTTATCCCAGGCATCCCACATCCTCACCCCCTCTCACTCACACACTCCCTCCACCTCCTCTCTCGTCTCCTTCAGCTCCCCCCTCCCTTCCTCCACGCTCTCTCATCCCTCCTCCAGCCCTCCCGCTTCTGACGCTCTTCACCCCAACCTCCCTCCCCGCCCTTCCTCCCGCCGCCCTCCCCCCATCCTCCCGCCCTCTCGGCGCCACCCCTCCGCGGTCCTGAATGCCCTCACTCCCTCCTCCACACACTCCTCCCCGCAGCCAACCTCCTCTTCCCTCTCCTCGCCCCACCTTCCCTCCTCCCTCTTCTCCCCACACTCACCCCCTTCGTCTGAGCACATAGCCTCTCAGCAGGTCCCCCCACCCTTGCAAGGCGTTCCCCCGCCCTCTCAAAGTGCTGCCCCGCCCTCGCAAGGCGTGTCCCCACCATCCCTACCACCTCGCAAGTCGCCCTTCGCACCTGGCAGCAGTAGCAGGGCACTCGTGAGAGTGCCGTCCCCGGCTAAAGAAGCTTCTGAGGCTTCTGAGGCTTGCGAGGCGCGCGAGGCTTGTGAGGCGCCATCAACACAGCAGGCCCTTGCCAGCAGCACAGGGCCGCTTGTAAGAGTACCTTCGCCTGCCAAGGAGACACCTGTCCCCTGCCGTGCCAGCAACGCAGCTGCTCCCTGTGCTGTGAAGGAAAGTCTACCTTCCCCAGATCGCACCCGCCCTCTTGGTCCGTCTGCCAGGGACTCCCATTCGCCAGGCAACGCGGCTTGTCAGATGGCACCTTTACCAGATAGCACCTCTCGACTCGGTGCTCCCCAAATAGCCCCATCCCAAGCTTCTTTTGGCTCCCCCGCTTCTGCCTCGCCCCCTCCCTCCCCGTCTCTTCACCCCCCCAAACCGCACTCCCCCTCTGGAGATTCTGCCTCTCCTCCCGGTGCTGCGCATGGAGCGGGGGCCGCCTCGCCCTCTCCCTCGCATGCAACCGTCTCACCCAGCGCAAGGCGCGGGGCGGTGCTGCCCTGCCAGCAGGGAGAGGGCAGTGGGGAGCAGCATGTGCCGATGCACCTCGTGCCCCCCTCTGGGCAGCACCCCGTGTCTCGCACGCGACAACTCCGGCCCTCTTCCTCTCTTCGCATTCCCGCTGTTGCAACTCTGAATTCCACGGGTTCATCACCCGTGTCACCGTTCTGTAACAGCGTTACATCTTATAGGGGCGTTACATCTCCTCATAGTTCCAACGCAACAAACCAGAGCGTGCGCCCCTTTCCGCGACGGTGCCTCTCTTACCCGGATACAGCTGTGTCAGTGCCCGTTTCGTCTCCTCAAGCACTCGTTTCATCTCCTAACAGTAACAGATCATCTTCTCTCAGACTCCTGATGGGCCCTCGAAGCACCATCTCTGTGACAGCGCACTCTAACACCTCACCTCCTAACCTTCATTATAGAGCATCTGCACATATTCACAACCAGCTAGTAGCACGTCCCCAACCTCCCACCACCCTTCCTTCAAACCGTTTTTCATCTGCCGATCCCAGCAGCCCTGGTGCCCTCGCTGCTCCCTCCTCCCCCCATCCCTCTTATTCTCCGTCTCACCCGAAACGCCTTTCCCCTCCGGCCTCCGTCCCTGTACCTCCCTCCCACTTGCGCCGAGCGCATTCAGTATTCTCCCCTTGCCGCCCCTCCCTCTCTCTGCCCTCCTCCTCGCCCCATCCCCCAAACCCTAGTCTTGCTTCCCCTGTACAGCCCTCTACCCCCTCTCCCTCCTCCCCCTCACGTCACTTCCTTCAGAAGCAGCACTCCTACCCTCCCCCCTCCACTGCCCTCGCACACTCCTCCCCTCCTCCCCTACCTACAGACTCCTCTGCTCACCCCCTGCGATCCCGCCCCCCCGACTCCCATCACTCCCATCCCACCCTCTCTGCCTCTGTCTCTCGCACGCCCTCCCTCTCATGCGCCTCTCCTCCCTCCTCGCCCTCCCACTCCTCCGCCTCTGATGCCGCCACCTCGCTCTCCTCGCTGCCCTCCCTGCCGTCTCTCTGCGATAGCGCTCCACGCATGCCGCCCCTGCGGCACCACCACCACCACCAGCAGCACCACCAGCAGCACCACCAGCAGCACCAGCAGCAGCACCAGCAGCACCAGCAGCACCAGCAGCAAGAGGAGGAAGCGGAGGATGAGTTGGTGGGTGGGCGGAGGTCAGTGGTGCAGATGCGAGAAGGGGAGGATGGGGAAGCAAGGAGCGACGTGGAGAAGGGGGGGTTGAGCAGGAGGCGGTCCAGTAGCAGCAGGGAGGGAGGGCGAGGGGGGGAGGGAGGAGAGGGTTGCGAGGCAGAGAGGGGTTGTGATGCAAGAGGTGGGGGGGACACAGAAGGGGGCAGAGAGGCAAGACGGAGAAGGGAGAGGGAGCAGAGCAGCAGCGAAAGCTGCAGCAGTCGGAACGCCGTGATAAAGGGGGGAGGGAGGCGAGTGAGAGGGAAAGAGGGAAAGCCAGCGAGAGGGGGTGAGGAGGGGGATGAGGCCAAGCCGTGGCGCCGAGCTGCTGCTGGGATGAGGGCGGATGGGGCAGTGGAGGAGGAGGGGAGGCGGAGAGAACAGCACACTCACACGTGGCATGGGGAAGACATTCCTCCTCCCACTGCAGAAGAGAGGACCAGCCATACAGCGGGTGGGGGAGGGGATGGGGGTGGGGGCCTGAGGAGGCGCCACAGTGCGGGCAGCGGGGTGGTGGCTGTGGTGCGGCGGTGAGAGGCGGGGATGAGAGACGGCGCTGGTAGAGGCAACGTGAGCGCAGGCAGCCCCTCTGTGGGCAGTCTGGGTGGAGTGGTGCGTGGAAAAGTGCTGCACTGGGATGGCAGCACAGCAAGACAGGCCAGTGTCGCTGGCAGTGCCAGGCATGATGGAAGGGAGAGCGGAGGGCAGGAAGGAGGGGCATGCAGCCTGGCAGGTGCATTGAACAGTGGCTTCCAGGGCGGGGGTGGGCGTGACCCGCCTCAGTGCGCCTCATCTTACTCGTCTGACTGGTCGGACACATCTGACCCCCCGGTAGCAGCAGCGGTGGCGGCGCCAGTGGGATGGCCTCTGGAGCTGGCCTCACAGCAAACAAGCCCAGTGCAGAGGACGCACCAGCCGGCTGCTGGTTGGTGAAAAGCATTGGCTGGAATGACTTACCAAGCAAGACGCGCGCACGATGGGGACATGACTGGTACTAATGTACTAGCTTTATATTAACAGGCAACCATGTTTCGGGGGCATGGCAGCACTGTTGTGCCATGGGCAGGGCATCGTCACGGCACGTGTGCGACGATACGGCAATAGGAAATAAGTGGCAGTAGCATCGTCAGAGCCACTGCCCGCCATTACCACAGCTGTACCACAGCTGTATGTCAGGCAGAGAAGCTGTACAAACGCTTGGATTGCTGGAAAATGGGGGTCCCTCGTTGGCTGCGCATATGCTGCTGCATGCTTTTGGCTGGCTTTCCCTTCGTGCATTGTTTCAGTCCTGTGATTTGTCATGGCTATTGCCACACGCTTTGTGCTTGGTGCCAGCAGCAGTATTTGCAAGTATTTCTCAGCCAGCCTGTGCTGAGTTAGGGAAGGAGGATGGGTTGCAGCTTAGGGCGTATTCCTACGGAGTGGTGTTCAGTCTGAGTAAGAAGTGTTAACTGGAATGAGAGTATACAGGGGTATATAGCTAGTGGGTTGTACTCTCTATGGCAAGGCCCTATGTAGTCTACTAAACATACACAAATATGTTTGACACACTCCATAGACTAGATAGGGGCAAAGCCTGGTGAAAGACAAACAGCTCAGGGCAGCACTATTAGTCCAACCTCTGAGGCAGGGGTCTAAAGATGTCAACTTATACATATGCTGTATGTAGAAGTTATAGGCTAGCCTAGGGGTGTGCTTCTAGTGAGTACAACCCCAACAGGTACATGTTCTAGGTTTCTCACACCAGTCCATCATTCTCTCTTTCTAACTTGGTATCATGAGTAGGTTAGGTTCCTCTCGCCCGCCCACACATCCGCCCTAGGCCCTAGCCGCCCTCGTGACCCGTCCCTAGCTGCCCCCCCCCCCCCCCCCTGGCCGTCGCGCCCGCCCCTAGCTGGCCCCCTGGCCGTCGCGTCCGCCCCTAGCCGGCCCCCTGGCCGTCGCGTCCGCCCCTAGCCGGCCCCCTGGCCGTCGCGCCCGCCCCTAGCTGGCCCCCTGGCCGTCGCGTCCGCCCCTAGCCGCCCCCCTGGCCGTCGCGCCCGCCCCTAGCCGGCCCCCTGGCCGTCGCGTCCGCCCCTAGCCGGCCCCCTGGCCGTCGCGTCCGACCCTGGCCGTCGCGTCCGCCCCTAGCCGCCCCCCTGGCCGTCGCGTCCACCCCTAGCCGGCCCTCTGGCCGTCGCGTCCGCCCCTAGCCGGCTCCCTGGCCGTCGCGCCCGCCCCTAGCCGGCCCCCTGGCCGTCGCGTCCGCCCCTAGCCGGCCCCCTGGCCGTCGCGTCTGCCCCTAGCCGGCCCCCTGGCCGTCGCGCCCGCCCCTAGCCGGCCCCCTGGCCGTCGCGCCCGCCCCTAGCCGGCCCCCTGGCCGTCGCGCCCGCCCCTAGCCGGCCCCCTGGCCGTCGCGCCCGCTCCTAGACGGCCCCATGGCCGTCGCGCCCGCTCCTAGCCGGACCCTTGGCCGTTCGCGCCCGCTCCTAGCCAGCCCCTCCTAGCGCCCACCCGGCCCCCTCTACCGCCCGCCCGGCCCCTCCACAGCGCCCGCCTGGCCCCTGCTAGCGCCCGCCCGACCCCTCCTAGCGCCCGCCCGGCCCCTTCTAGCGCCCGCCCGGCCTGTTGCACCCGCCCGTCCCACACCGCCCGCCCAGCCCCACCCAGCGCCTGCCCGGCCCCGATACGCCCGCCCGGCTCCTGCGGCCCGCAGCTCCCAGTGCCTGCCCGGTTCCTGCGGCTCCGTGTCTTCTACTCGGCACGGTTCCTCGGGTCTCCGGCCTCGTGTCTTCTGCTTGCCAGCGCTGGAGCGTCCTGCAGACGTCCCCCTGGAGCTGTGCTGCTATGTCCCTGTGCCGCTGTGTCCTGTAGAGCTGTGCCGCTGTGTCCTTGTGTCGCTGACCCTGCACGATGGCTGACTTCGTCCTCCGCCTGGACGCTGAGGGCCACGCGGTTGACTTCGCCGCCTGGCTGTCCGATCTCCGCCGTCAGCTCACAGGTCAGCGCCAGGATGGGCACTCCTTGGTTGTCCATGCTGATGGCTTGCTCCCCCGCCCCCCTGCGCCTGCTCCCCTCCCTGCTGACCCCACCTCTGCTGAGCGTGAGACTTTCTCTGCTGCTGCACTTGCCTGTGCCGTCTGGGACTCTCGCGATGCAGTTGCTCAGGTCGCTATCAGTCATGCCCTCCCTGTGTTTGAGCGTTCGCATTTTGCTACAGTTGATACAGCAAAGGCTTACTTAGAAATTGTTGTCGCTCGCTATTCCACGCCTGCCTCCGCTACTGCAGGCCGCCTGCTCTTCCCTATGCTTTTCCCAGACCTTGCTTCCTTCCCTACTGTTGCTGACCTTGCCACTCACCTGCGCGCCCTAGAGTCTCGCTACTGCACTGCTAATACTGCTGCCCAGCTCACTGTGCTCCCTCCCCCCTTCTGCATGACCCTCTACTTTATCGCCATGCGCCTGCCTGACTGCCTTGCTAGTGCACGCGACCACATCCTTAGCCAGCACCCGGGTGATCTCACCCTGCCAGCCTTTGTCACCGCCCTGACCGAGATCGAGACTCGCCAGCACACTATCGCTCAGTCGAGCGGTGCGCCGGCAGTCTCTATCTTTCACGGCTGTGCCCCTTCCCAGTGCACGTTTATTGACGTTTCGGCTGCGGTCGCCACTACGACCCCTCTGACCAAGACTGCAGCTGCGGTACAGCCGCAGCAGCGCTCGCGCCGCGCCGGTCGTGGACGCCAGGGAGGGCGTGGTGGTGGAGCTGGTGGTAGTAGTGGTGGTACCAGGGACAGTGGTTCTACTGAGGGGACTGCCTCAGCTAGTCAGGAGCAGCAGCCGTCGCCCCAGCAGCAGCAGGAGCAGTCGCCGCAGCCGTCGCAGCAGTTGCAGTCGTCGCAGCAGCTGTCTCAGCCCCAGTCGTGGGCTCGTCTCCCGCCAGGTTGGCCCGGCACATCCATAGGTGGTGGCCGTGGTGGCGGCCCGCGCAGCTTGGCGTCTACCGACAGCTCAGTTGGTGCGACCTGCCACTACCAGCTCAGACCAGGCCTCTCCGCGGCACTCTGTGCCGCCGCCCGCACCTGACCGCTCGCTGTTTCCGCCACCTCGATGATCTCTTTCGTCGTCGCTTTGGCCCGGCCCCGGACCTCCCCGACTGGCACAGCCTGCTTCGCCAGGGAGTGCCGATCTTTGAGTTAGATATGGATCAGATAGGTGCTGCTTTGCATGCCTTGTATGGTGACGCTTCTAGTGTTGCTGGATCTTATTACCCTGTGTACTCTAGTTTAGGCATAGCACCCTTGTGTAGCTTAGCCTCCCCTACTGCGTCAGGCATAGGACTGCCTAGTTTGCCTAGCCTAGTTTCTGCACCGGCTCCGTTCCCGGCCTCCGCTACTGCCTCGCTGTCCTTCACTCTCGACTCCGGTGTTTCTGCCTGTTTCTTCCGCGACCACTCCACGCTCACGCCGCTTGCTGCGCCTGCTGTTGTCGCTCTCGGTGACCCTTCTGCGGGTCCTGTCGTCGCTCGCAGCTCCACTTCCCTTCCTTGTCCAGCCGTCCCCTCAGGCTCTCTTTCAGACCTCCACGTTCCCTCGTTCTCGAGGAACCTGGTTGGTGTCGGCCATCTTCAGGACCTCGGCGTAACCACTACGTTCCCTGGGCACGAGCGGTTCGCTGTCTGTACCGAGGCAGTCTCAGGTTCCCCCCTTGCGACGTTCCCCCGAGACCCAGTGTCCGGTCTGTTTACCCTCGACACCGCTTCCCCCCTGGTTGGTGCGTCCTCCCAGGTCGCTGCAGCTTGCTCGTGTCGGTCCCTCACACACTTGTCCCTTCTGTGGCACCACTGCTTAGGTCACCCTGCTCTCCCACGCCTGCGTGGTCTCACCACTGCTTAGGTCACCCTGCTCTCCCACGCCTGCGTGGTCTCAGCACGGTCTTGTCTTAGGCCTCCCTGCGTCGCTCCCCGCACTTCCCCCCTCAACTGCGCCATCATGCACGCCTTGCGTCGAGGGCCGGCTCCGCCGTGCCCCTCACTCCTCCTCGCTTCGCCCTACTACTGCTCCCCTTCAGATCCTGCACCTGGACGTTTGGGGCCCAGCCCGCGTCCCCGGACCGCGCAGTGAGCGCTACTTTCTTGTGCTCGTCGACGTCTACACGCGCTACACCGCGGTGTTTCCCCTGGAGCGGAAGTCCGACGTGCCCGACGTTCTTTTCCCGTGGGTTGTGGCTGCGCGTCTTCACCTCGGTCTCCCCGTGTTGTGTCTCCACTCTGACCGTGGCGGCGAGTTCGCTTCTGGTCGGCTTGGATAGTTCTGTTGTGCGGAGGGCATCACCCAGTCGTACACCTTGCCGGACTCGCCACAGCAGAATGGGATTGCTGAGCGCCGCATCGGCTTGGTCATGGAGGCTGCTCGTACCTCCATGATTCATGCCAATGCCCCCCATCTTCTGTGGCCGTTCGCTGTCCGCTAGGCTGCTCACCAGCTTAACTTGTGGCCATGCTCCTAGCGGCCGCAGGCTTCGCCGACCCTCCTTTGGACCGGGTCCCCCGGCGACGCGTCTGCGTTCCACGTCTGGGGTTGCCTTGCTCACGTTCGTGCCTCTGGCACGAACAAGCTCACTGCCCGCACTGTCCCCTGTGTCTTCCTCGGTTTCCCCCTGGACTCGTCTGACTGGCTGTTCTACCACCCGCAGTCTCACCGCTTCCTTCACTCTCGTGACGTCACCTGTGATGAGTCTGTCTCCTTCTACCGTCGCTTCCCTCACCGAGGTCTCCCGGTTTCCCCCCCCTTTTTCTTTGCTCCCCCTTTCCCGGTAGCCCCCGCTCCCCTCCCGCCTTATCCTACCCCGTCTGGTGTTTCCCATGTCACTCCCCTCCCATTGGTTGTCCCCGTTGAGGAGCTTGCTGACTCTGGTGGTCCCCCCGGCCTATCCTTGCTGCATCCCCCTTCCTCCGCTTTCGCAGCCGCCGCCGCCGCCACCGCCGTTGCCGCCGCCGCCGCCGCTCTTGGCCTCTGGGGGTGCTGGCGTTGAAGAGGGTGTTCGTCCTACGGCCCCTGGCGTGGTCTGTCCCGTCGGGCCTGGGGGTGCCGCCGGTGCTTGAGGGGGTTCTCGCTCTGGGGGTGTTGGTTCTGGGGGTGCTGCTGTTGAGTGTTCTCCCAGCGGCCATCGTGCCCCTGCCGGTCCGCGGGTCAAGCACCAGCCGCCGCAGCAGCAGCCGCAGCTGTCACCGCCGGTCTCCGCTCTTCGCCTACTTGGCCATCCCTCCCTCGACCGCTCGCTGGTGTCTCCCTCACCACCTTCTCACCTTCCTGTCTCCGGCCCTGTGTTCCCACCGCCGGACTCGCCTCCGGCCCGTCTTCCTCCTCGTTCCCCTTTTGTGTCCCCTCCGCTGTCTCCTGAACCTACACCTCCGTCCCACGTTTGGTCTCGCCGTCCCTCCCGTGCTCGTCCCGTCTCTCCTGTCCTGCACTCCCACCCTATGTTGCTCCGTTCCCACTCGTCTCGTCCTCCCCTCCTCCCGTTGCCTCCTCCCTCATCGCTTATTGTTGCACCTCCCCCG